CTTTCACATACCTCCTTGATTTTTGGAGCGGTTTTTCACGGAATATCTGTATGCGTTGATTGTGGATCAAAGCAATTTATATGCACAACAATTTATCGCCGCCAACCCAAATTCAAACCTTGCCAGACCATTCGCATGGAAACTCATTACGGTTTTCAAATTGAACTTTTTTTTTTTGGGCCTAACCCTCAACATGGGCATTATTAAAAGAAATGAATTGCGGTTGTATTGGTCCACAGACCCGATTCATCATATGCCGTGTTCTCTGTTGCCATGGCCAGGCATAGATAGATATAAGAGTATAATGTGTTTTATGCATTTTAGCGACAATACACTCTGTCATCCTCGGGGTGACCCTGAATTTGACTGGCTCCACAAAATTCAGCCCCCTCGCAAAACACCTTAACCTAAAATTTGCAGAGATGTCTATACTCCCCAGCAATACATCTGTGTTGATGAGTCCCTCATTAATTTTCTGGCCGTCTTGCATTCAAACAATTTCTCCCCTGTAAGCGTGCCAGATATGGGGTCAAGATGTAGAAGACCTGTGAGAGGGCAACAGGCTATACTTATAAGTTTTGGATTTACGAGGAAAAAGATAGTCACGTGGAGCCCCCCGGATGCCCAGACTACATGGGGAGCAGTGGCAAGATAGTTTGGGACTTGGTGTCATCATTTCTCCATATGGGGTACCACTTATATGTGGACAATTTTTATTCAAGTGTGCCACTATTTAGACATTTGTTCAATCTTGGAACTGGCGCTTGTGGCAAAGTGTGACCTAATGTGTGCCCACCATTAGAAGTGGGGGATGCAGGGTGGTACATTCTAATGGTGGGCATACCACACACTTTTTCTGGCAGAGATTTCTTCTCATTTTTTCATTCATTCCACAGGCTGCATACAAAAAAAACAACACATAGCATATACAACCAACAAGGACCAGCGATGTACTGGTACAACACTGGATTGAATGTTTTACCAGGATGATGCCTACAGCTGCAGACATCATCCTGGTACCGTTTTTTTTCAGCCGGCGATCGGCTTTCATGTAAAAGCAATCCTAGTGGCTAATTAGCTGCAAGATTGCTTTTACAAGCAGTGGGAGGTGATGTCCCCCCTCCCCCGCTGCCTTCCACGGCCTTCTCGGGCAGTCCTGTGCCATCGGGGGAACCTAAGAATGCAGCCGGTGTTTCTGCCAGCTGACCATAGAGCTGATTGGAGACCAGAATGGTGCCAGTGATCTCTATAGTCTAAGAATTCGGAAGCTACAAGCATTTCATCACTTCAGTTTCACAGGATATAAACAGCGCCATTTGTAAATTGGGAAAGCATCTGATCACACCGATTTTGGTTTGATTAGATAATGTAAGGGCAGAGGAGATATCTAGAGCCTGATGGACCCCAGATTTCTCAAAAAAGAATATAAGACAACACCCATTGAAGTTATAGGGGTTATTTGCAGTCCCTGTTAAAGCATTAAAAAGGAATAAAAAAAAAAAAAAAAAAAAATTGCCCTTCCCATGCACGCACACCTGTGTGCACAAGCCTTGACCCTGTACCGGTATGTAAACAGCGGTTGCACCATGCATGTGAGGTATTACCGTGAACGTCAGATGAAGGGCAGTAATTCTAACACTAGACCTCCTCTGTAAATCTAAAATGGTAGCTTTTAAAGCGCTGCCTATGGATATTAAAATGTTTGCAGTTTGTCGCCATTGCACAGGGCATGCGCAGTTTTAAAGCATGTCATATTTGGCATCTATTTACTCTGCATACCATTATCTTTTATAATTTACCAAACAATTGGCCAATATATTGTGTTTTTGTGCATTAAAAGTAAAAAAGTGTATTTTTTTTTTTTTTTTTTAAATTTGCTTTTGAAAAATCGCTGTGCCATAAAAAAATTGTAGTACCCACCATTTTTATTCACTACGGCAGTGGTCGGCAAGCCGCGGCTCGCGAGCCACATGCGGCTCTTTACAAACTTAAATGCGGCTCTTCTGTGTGCCGGGGCGCCCGCTCCCCTTCCTCCTCTCGGGCGGCCGCCCCAAAAGTCAGACTCTGCAGCTGTCAGGATGTAGGCGGGGCAGCCAGGATGTAGGCGGGGCAGCGTGACGAACTCCTCTCCTCTCACAGTCCGCCCTGAAGACCAGAACGGCGCGGGAACCCGGCGAGAAGAACGCGCGGAGCAAAGGTAAGTGAATTGACACAATAGGGGGGATGAATTACTATAGGGGGGATGAATTACTATAGGGGGGATGAATTACTATAGGGGGGATGTATTTTCAGTTTTTAAAAATGTGGCTCTCAAAATAAATTTCAATCGTGGTTTTGGCGAGATTTGGCTCAGTTGAAAAAAAAAGGTTGCCCACCACTGCACTAGGGTGTCTGCTTTAAAAAAAAATATATAATGTTTAAAGGGTTTAAATTAAATTTCCTAGCAAAAAAATACAGATTTTTTTCATGTGAACAAAAAGGCTTGGTCTTCAGGTGGTTAGAAGAGTGAATGATGTGTGGCATAAACTTCTAATGCTGGGCATAAAAACGCCTCCACCCCCAAACGACCCTTTTTGGAAAGTAGGTCACCCCAAACTATTTGCTGAGAGGAATGTTTGATTCAATAGAAGAATTTTTTTTACCACAAGTTTTTGGAAAATGAGAAAAATATATATACCCGTATTTTCCGGCGTATAAGACGACCCCCTTACTTTTCCTGTTTAAAATGTAGTGTTTGGGCTATACTCGCCGTATAAGACTACCCCTCTTCCAGTGCACACCAGTGGGAAGAATAGTGCCCCATCGTTGGTGTCAGTGGGCGGTGGAATAGTGCCCCATCGTTGGTGTCAGTGGGCGGTGCAATAGTGCCCCATCGTTGGTGTCAGTGGGCGGTGCAATAGTGCCCCATCGTTGGTGTCAGTGGGCGGTGCAATAGTGCCCCATCGTTGGTGTCAGTGGGCGGTGCAATAGTGCCCCATCGTTGGTGTCAGTGGGCGGTGCAATAGTGCCCCATCGTTGGTGTCAGTGGGCGGTGCAATAGTGCCCCATCGTTGGTGTCAGTGGGCGGTGCAATAGTGCCCCATCGTTGGTGTCAGTGGGCGGTGCAATAGTGCACCCATCGTTGGTGTCAGTGGGCGGTGCAATAGTGCCCCATCGTTGGTGGTCAGTGGGCGGTGCAATAGTGCCCCATCGTTGGTGTCAGTGGGCGGTGCAATAGTGCCCCATCGTTGGTGTCAGTGGGCGGTGCAATAGTGCCCCATCGTTGGTGTCAGTGGGCGGTGCAATAGTGCCCCATCGTTGGTGTCAGTGGGCGGTGCAATAGTGCCCCATCGTTGGTGTCAGTGGGCGGTGCAATAGTGCCCCCATCGTTGGTGTCAGTGGGCGGTGCAATAGTGCCCCATCGTTGGTGTCAGTGGGCGGTGCAATAGTGCCCCATCGTTGGTGTCAGTGGGCGGTGCAATAGTGCCCCATCGTTGGTGGTGTCATAGTGCCCCATCGTTGGTGGTGGGTGCAATAGTGCCCCATCGTTGGTGTCAGTGGGCGGTGCAATAGTGCCCCATCGTTGGTGTCAGTGGGCGGTGCAATAGTGCCCCCCAGTGCCCCATCGTTGGTGTCAGTGGGCGGTGCATTAGTGCCCATCGTTGGTGTCAGTGGGCGGTGCAATAGTGCCCCATCGTTGGTGTCAGTGGGCGGTGCAATAGTGCCCCATCGTTGGTGTCAGTGGGCGGTGCAATAGTGCCCCATCGTTGGTGTCAGTGGGGGGTGCAATAGTGCCCCATCGTTGGTGTCAGTGGGCGGTGCAATAGTGCCCCATCGTTGGTGTCAGTGGGCGGTGCAATAGTGCCCCATCGTTGGTGTCAGTGGGCGGTGCAATAGTGCCCCATCGTTGGTGTCAGTGGGCGGTGCAATAGTGCCCCATCGTTGGTGTCAGTGGGCGGTGCAATAGTGCCCATCGTTGGTGTCAGTGGGCGGTGCAATAGTGCCCCATCGTTGGTGTCAGTGGGCGGTGCAATAGTGCCCCATCGTTGGTGTCAGTGTGGGCGGTGCAATAGTGCCCCATCGTTGGTGTCAGTGGGGGTGAATAGTGCCCCATCGTTGGTGTCAGTGGGGGTTGGAATAGTGCCCCATCGTTGGTGTCAGTGGGCGGTGCAATAGTGCCCCATCGTTGGTGTCAGTGGGGGGTGCAATAGTGCCCCATCGTTGGTGTCAGTGGGCGGTGCAATAGTGCCCCGTTGGTGTTGGTGTCAGTGGGCGGGTGCAATAGTGCCCCATCGTTGGTGTCAGTGGGGGTGGAATAGTGCCCCATCGTTGGTGGTTGTCAGTTGGGCAGGTGAATAGTGCCCCATCGTTGGTGTCAGTGGGCGGTGCAATAGTGCCCCATCGTTGGTGTCAGTGGGCGGTGCAATAGTGCCCCATCGTTGGTGTCAGTGGGCGGTGCAATAGTGCCCCATCGTTGGTGTCAGTGGGCGGTGCAATAGTGCCCCATCGTTGGTGTCAGTGGGCGGTGCAATAGTGCCCCATCGTTGGTGTCAGTGGGCGGTGAATAGTGCCCCATCGTTGGTGTCAGTGGGGCGGTGCAATAGTGCCCCATCGTTGGTGTGTCATCGTTGGTGTCAGTGGGCGGTGCAATAGTGCCCCATCGTTGGTGTCAGTGGGCGGTGCAATAGTGCCCCATCGTTGGTGTCAGTGGGGGGAATAGTGCCCCATCGTTGGTGTCAGGTGGGCGGTGAATAGTGCCCCATCGTTGGTGTCAGTGGGGGGGTGCAATAGTGCCCCATCGTTGGTGTCAGTGGGCGGTGGAATAGTGCCCCATCGTTGGTGTCAGTGGGCGGTGCAATAGTGCCCCATCGTTGGTGTCAGTGGGCGGTGCAATAGTGCCCCATCGTTGGTGTCAGTGGGCGGTGCAATAGTGCCCCATCGTTGGTGTCAGTGGGCGGTGCAATAGTGCCCCATCGTTGGGTGTCAGTGGGCGGTTGCAATAGTGCCCCATCGTTGGTGTCAGTGGGCGGTGCAATAGTGCCCCATCGTTGGTGTCAGTGGGCGGTGCAATAGTGCCCCATCGTTGGTGTCAGTGGGCGGTGAATAGTGCCCCATCGTTGGTGTCAGTGGGCGGTGCAATAGTGCCCCATCGTTGGTGTCAGTGGGGGTGCAATAGTGCCCCATCGTTGGTGTCAGTGGGGGGGGGCAATAGTGCCCCATCGTTGGTGTCAGTGGGGCGGTGCAATAGTGCCCCATCGTTGGTGTCAGTGGGGGTGCAATAGTGCCCCATCGTTGGTGTCAGTGGGCGGTGCATATAGTGCCCCATCGTTGGTGTCAGTGGGCGGTGCAATAGTGCCCCATCGTTGGTGTCAGTGGGCGGTGCAATAGTGCCCCATCGTGGTGTCAGTGGGCGGTGCAATAGTGCCCCATCGTTGGTGTCAGTGGGCGGTGCAATAGTGCCCCATCGTTGGTGTCAGTGGGCGGTGCAATAGTGCCCCATCGTTGGTGTCAGTGGGCGGTGCAATAGTGCCCCATCGTTGGTGTCAGTGGGCGGTGCAATAGTGCCCCATCGTTGGTGTCAGTGGGGCGGTGGAATAGTGCCCCATCGTTGGGTGTCAGTGGGCGGTGCAATAGTGCCCCATCGTTGGTGTCAGTGGGCGGGTGCAATAGTGCCCCATCGTTGGGTGTCAGTGGGCGGTGCATTAGTGCCCCATCGTTGGTGTCAGTGGGCGGTGCAATAGTGCCCCATCGTTGGTGTCAGTGGGCGGTGCAATAGTGCCCCATCGTTGGTGTCAGTGGGGGGTGCAATAGTGCCCCATCGTTGGTGTCAGTGGGCGGTGCAATAGTGCCCCATCGTTGGTGTCAGTGGGCGGTGCAATAGTGCCCCATCGTTGGTGTCAGTGGGCGGTGCAATAGTGCCCCATCGTTGGTTGTCAGTGGGCGGTGCAATAGTGCCCCATCGTTGGTGTCAGTGGGCGGTGCAATAGTGCCCCATCGTTTGGTGTCAGTGGGCGGTGGTGCCCCATCGTTGGTGTCAGTGGGCGGTGCAATAGTGCCCCATCGTTGGTGTCAGTGGGCGGTGCAATAGTGTCATCGTTGGTGTCAGTGGGCGGTTGCAATAGTGCCCCATCGTTGGTGTCAGTGGGCGGTGCAATAGTGCCCCATCGTTGGTGTCAGTGGGCGGTGCAATAGTGCCCCATCGTTGGTGTCAGTGGGCGGTGCAATAGTGCCCATCGTTGGTGTCAGTGGGCGGTGCAATAGTGCCCCATCGTTGGTGTCAGTGGGCGGTGCAATAGTGCCCCATCGTTGGTGTCAGTGGGCGGTGCAATAGTGCCCCATCGTTGGTGTCAGTGGGCGGTGCAATAGTGCCCCATCGTTGGTGTGTCAGTGAGGCGGGCAATAGTGCCCCATCGTTGGTGTCAGTGGGCGGTGCAATAGTGCCCCATCGTTGGTGTGGTGCAATAGTGCCCCATCGTTGGTGTCAGTGGGCGGTGCAATAGTGCCCCATCGTTGGTGTCAGTGGGCGGTTGCAATAGTGCCCCATCGTTGGTGTCAGTGGGCGGTGCAATAGTGCCCCATCGTTGGTGTCAGTGGGCGGTGCAATAGTGCCCCATCGTTGGTGTCAGTGGGCGGTGCAATAGTGCCCCATCGTTGGTGTCAGTGGGGGGTGCAATAGTGCCCCATCGTTGGTGTCAGTGGGCGGTGCAATAGTGCCCCATCGTTGGGTGTCAGTGGGCGGTGCAATAGTGCCCCATCGTTGGTGTCAGTGGGCGGGTGCAATAGTGCCCCATCGTTGGTGTCAGTGGGCGGTGCAATAGTGCCCATCGTTGGTGTCAGTGGGCGGTGCAATAGTGCCCCATCGTTGGTGTCAGTGGGCGGTGCAATAGTGCCCCATCGTTGGTGTCAGTGGGCGGTGCAATAGTGCCCATCGTTGGTGTCAGTGGGCGGTGCAATAGTGCCCCATCGTTGGTGTCAGTGGGCGGTGCAATAGTGCCCCATCGTTGGTGTCAGTGGGCGGTGCAATAGTGCCCCATCGTTGGTGTCAGTGGGCGGTGCAATAGTGCCCCATCGTTGGTGTCAGTGGGCGGTGCAATAGTGCCCATCGTTGGTGTCAGTGGGCGGTGCAATAGTGCCCCATCGTTGGTGTCAGTGGGCGGTGCAATAGTGCCCCATCGTTGGTGTCAGTGGGCGGTGCAATAGTGCCCCATCGTTGGTGTCAGTGGGCGGTGCAATAGTGCCCCATCGTTGGTGTCAGTGGGCGGTGCAATAGTGCCCCATCGTTGGTGTCAGTGGGCGGTGCAATAGTGCCCCATCGTTGGTGTCAGTGGGCGGTGCAATAGTGCCCCATCGTTGGTGTCAGTGGGCGGTGCAATAGTGCCCCATCGTTGGTGTCAGTGGGCGGTGCAATAGTGCCCCATCGTTGGTGTCAGTGGGCGGTGCAATAGTGCCCCATCGTTGGTGTCAGTGGGCGGTGCAATAGTGCCCCATCGTTGGTGTCAGTGGGGCGGTGCAATAGTGCCCCATCGTTGGTGTCAGTGGGCGGTGCAATAGTGCCCCATCGTTGGTGTCAGTGGGCGGTGCAATAGTGCCCCATCGTTGGTGTCAGTGGGCAATAGTGCCCCATCGTTGGTGTCAGTGGGCGGTGCAATAGTGCCCCCATCGTTGGTGTCAGTGGGCGGTGCAATAGTGCCCCATCGTTGGTGTCAGTGGGCGGTGCAATAGTGCCCCATCGTTGGTGTCAGTGGGCGGTGCAATAGTGCCCAATGCCCCATCGTTTGGTGTCAAAGCGTGGAGGGATTAGTGCCCATCGTGGTGTCAGTGGGCGGTGCAATAGTGCCCCATCGTTGGTGTCAGTGGGCGGTGCAATAGTGCCCCATCGTTGGTGTCAGTGGGCGGTGCAATAGTTGCCCCATCGTTGGTGTCAGTGGGCGGTGCAATAGTGCCCCATCGTTGGTGTCAGTGGGCGGTGAATAGTGCCCCATCGTTGGTGTCAGTGGGCGGTGCAATAGTGCCCCATCGTTGGTGTCAGTGGGCGGTGCAATAGTGCCCCCATCGTTGGTGTCAGTGGGCGGTGCAATAGTGCCCATCGTTGGTGTCAGTGGGCGGTGCAATAGTGCCCCATCGTGGTTGTCAGTGGGGGGGTGGCAATAGTGCCCCATCGTTGGTGTCAGTGGGCGGTGCAATAGTGCCCATCGTTGGTGTCAGTGGGCGGTGCAATAGTGCCCAATCGTTGGTGTCAGTGGGCGGTGGAATAGTGCCCATCGTTGGTGTCAGTGGGAGGTGGAATAGTGCCCCATGTTCGTTGCTGTGGGGGGGGGGGGGGGGGGGGGGGGGGAGGGAGGGAGGATTGTGCCCAATCGTTGGTGTCAGTTGGGGGGGAGGAAAAGTGTCACCGCTTCGTTGGTGTCAGTGGGAGGAATAATGCCCCATCATTGGTATCAGTGACACCAACGATGGGGCACTATTCCTCCCACTGACACTTGCTGACCCCTGTTCCAGTACGGTGCTGCTGCAGCCAGCATATGTGGTTTGCAGCAGCACCTAAGCACGGCACACTTACCTGCATCTCCACTCGATTTTCGGAGGGCCGCTCAGTTCCGCCTTCTCGCCGGTGATTGACCGCCTGTTTGCCTTTCCTGAGCTACAGTTCTGGCGGCCAATCACGGTGAGGAGGCGGAGCCGAGCAGCTGCACGAACATCCAGTGGACGAACCGAAGGAAGGAGCAGCCGCGCTTCCTGGACGGATCGTCGTGGGACCGGAGCCAGGTAAGAGACAGCAGCCCCTGCCCACCCCTGTACTTAGTTTCCCTTCTGTTGGATGGGGGGGGGGGGCGCCACCCCCCTAAAAAGTGTCAGCATGCCGTTACCGGCATATAAGACGACCCCCGACTTTTGAGAAGTTTTTCAAGGGGTAAAAAGTCGTCTTATACGCCGGAAAATACGATAGAGATATATATATATTTTATTATTTATTTTTTTACACAAAAAATTGTCACTTAAATGATTTACTGCTCACACATGCCATGGGTATATGTGGAATTACTCCCCAAAATACATTCTGCTACTTCTCCCGAGTATGGGGGTACCACACGTGAGAGACTTTTTGGCAGTCTAGCCAAGTACAGGACCCCAAATCCGATAAGCACCTTCAGGCTTTTAAAGGGCTTTATTTCCTCATTACACTTCCTGACTACCTATCACAGTTTCGGAGGCCCTGAAATGCCAGGATAGCACCTAACCCCCCCCAAAATGACCCTTTTTGGAAAGTAGACGCCCAAGAAATTTGATAAAAAGCACAGTAAGTATTTTGCAGATCTTTGTTGCCACAAGTTTTTGGAAAATGAAGACTAAAAAAAAACAAAAACAGTTTTTCTATTTTTTTTATATTTCAAAACCTTGTGAGAAAAATGAGATCTGCAAAATACTCACCATGCCTCTTTTTAAATTCCTTGGGGTGTCTACTTTCCAGAAAGGGGTCATTTGGGGGGGTTTGGAGCGTTCCTGGCATGTTTGGGCCTTTGAAACTGTGATAGGTAGTGAGGAAGTGTAATGAGGAAGTTACGCACCTTCAGGCTTTCAAAGTGGTCATTGGATTTCAGGCTCCTGTATGTGGCTAGGCTCCCAAAAAGTCTCACACACGTGGTATCCCCATACTCGGTAGAAGTATCAGAATGTATTTTGGGGTGTAATTCCACATATACCCATGGCTTGTGCGAGAAATAAATCATTTAAATGACAACTTCGTGTAAAAAAAAACAACAAAAAAAAAAGGTGTGTCATTTTCCAGAAACTTGTGGAAAAAAAAAAAAATCTTCCATGGACTCAATATGTCTCTCAGCAGATAGCTTAGGGTGTCTACTTTCCGAAAAGGGGTCATTTGAGGGTGTTTGTACTATCCTGGTATTTTAGCACCAAGAAATGTGATAAGCAGTTAGAAAGTAAAAGCTGTGTAAATTCCATTGTCTAGACTAGTGGTGGGCAACCTTTTTTTTCAACTGAGCCAAATCTCGCCAAAACCACGATTGAAATTTATTTTGAGAGCCACATTTTTAAAACTGAAAATAATAATACATCCCCCATTATAGTAATTCATCCCCCATAGTAATTCATCCCCCTATAGTAATTCATTCCCCATATTAAGTCCCCAAGTCCCCCCTGTGTCAATTCACTTACCTTTGCTCCGCGCGTTTTCTCGCCGGGTTCCCGCGCCGTTCTGGTCTTCAGGGCGGACTGTGAGAGGAGAGGAGTTCGTCACGCTGCCCCGCCTACATCCTGGCTGCCCCGCCTACATCCTGACAGCTGCAGAGTCCTGACTTTTGGGGGCGGCCGCCCAAGAGGAGGGAGGGGGAGGCGGGCGCCCGGCACACAGAAGAGCCGCATTTAAGTTTGTAAAGAGCCGCATGTGGCTCGCGAGCCGCGGCTTGCCGACCACTGGTCTAGACCATAGTTTGTAGACGCTATAAAACTTTCACAAAAAGCAATCAATATACACTTATTGGGATTTTTTTAACCAAAAACATGTAGCAGAATACATTTTGGCCTAAATTTATGACGAAATTTTAGTTTTTTTTTATGACCAAAATGAGAAAATATTGTTTTCAAAAAATTTTTTTTTCCTTAAAAAACTTTCTGGTTATAGCGCCAAAAATAAAAAGTGCACAGGTGATCAAATACCACCAAAAGAATGCCCTATTTTGTGTTAAAAAAAAAAAAAAAAAAAAAAAAAAAAAAGACGTAAATTTCATTTATGTACCGTATTGCATGACCGCACAATTGTCCGTTAAACTAGCGCAGCGCTGTATAGCAAAAAAATGGCGTAAATTGCAGTATCTATACCATAGTTTGTAGACGCTATAACTTTCACACAAAGCAATCAATATACACTTATTGGGATTTTGTTTTACCAAAAACATGTAGCAGAATACATTTTAGCCTAAATTTATAACTAACTTTGAGTTTACTATATATTTTTTATAGCTGAAATTAAAAAATATCGTTTTTTTTCTTCAAAATATTTGGTCTTTTTTTGTTTATAGCGTGAAAAATAAAAAGCGCACAGGTGATCAAATACCACTGAAAGAAAGCTCTATTTGTGTGAAAAAAAGGACGGAAATTTAGTTTAGGTGCAGCATTGCATGACCGCGCAATTATCAGTTGAATTAGTGCAGCGCCGAGTAGCAAAAAGAGGCCTGGTCATTAAGGGGGGAAAATCCTCAGGAGTTCAAGTGGTTAAGGACCGCCCTATAGCAGATATACTGTACAGAATCACACATACATATTATACATACATACATATATATATATTATATACACATACATACATACATACACACACACACGTCATTCTGCATTTCCGGGTAGGGGTCGCGCACCCTACCCGCACTGCCATTCGCGGCGGCCGCAGATGTCAATCACCAGGTCCTGGACGGTAATTACCCAGCATCTCCGATGTGGAGGAAGATTGTTTTGTTTACAAACAATCTTCCTCCCTGTCAGCTGGAGCACACTGCACAGTACAGCCATCCCATCAGTGTTCTTACAGTGAAGAACACCCCCGCCCCCTAGTAAAACACTCCCATCACACAGTTAACCCTTTAATGCCCCTCACAGTAACCCTCTTCCTGCCCAGTGCCATTGATAGTGTCAGTGCTTTTCTTTTTTAGCAATGATCACTGTATTGGTGTCACTGGGGTGTAAGTGACATCAAGTTAGTTCCCCCCAGTGTCAGAATGTCTGCCGCAGTCCCGCTAAAAGTCGCTGATCGCCGCCACTACTAGTAGAAAAAAAAAAAAAAATCCCATTATCTATACAGCCATTTGTAAACGCTCTAACTTTCACGTAAACCAATTCATTTACACATATTAGGAATTTTTTAAGTAAAGACATGTCGCAGAATAAATTTTGGCCTAAATTTATGACAAAATTTGTTTAAAATTTTTTACTGGACATGTTTAATAGCAAAAAGTCTAAAATATTGTTTTTTCCCCCTCAAAATTGTTTTTTTTTTTTTTTTTTTTTTTGCGCTATAAAGCAAACAAAAGACAGACACAATACCACCAAAAGAAATCTCCATTTGTGGGGAAAAAACAAAAAAAAACAAAAATTTTTTTATTTGGGTGCAGTGTTGCATGATTGTCAGTTAAAGTAGCACAGCGCCGTAACACAAAAAATGGCCTGATCAGGAGGGGGAGTGGTTAAGAAGCTTAAACAGATGTGTAGTAAGGGAGGAGTAAAATATAACTTGGGGGACCTGAAAAAAAAAAAAAAAAAGTTTTACCTTGGAGACAAATTCCAGGATTCTCGCCTTGGAAGTTTCTTTAAAGGCTCTTGGTCCCCACTGGAATTCATACTCTATGGGATCTGTATGGGGGATCTTATTATACTCCAGGTATCTAAAGTGTAGAAAAAGAATTGTGTGAAGAAAGGACTTCCGCAAATCCAGTATTGGTTGTAACAAGCTAAAACCAAAAACACCTGAGGCTTTGAATGGGGGGAAAGAAAATTTATTCCTGGTAAAGTGAAGAACGGATTGTTTCTGCTTGTAGAATAGGTAATTCGTAGGAATAAACTCTACACCATGTTGACCTGATCATGTACTGCATTCTGATGCCTATACTTCTTATAGTATCACCAACGAATATATAATCTGCCATACATGTTATTGACTCATTCACTGGGTGCAACTTTTAATCTGTTGTATTTATCAAGAGCCCCATAGCAGGCAAATGTGAATTGTAGTTCCTGTGCATAGGGGTAGACTCCAATGAACAATTGGAAAAAAAGCAACACATCCCCATGTGTACTGGACTGGCTGCATGCTCCAGTGTACCATTTTAGGACATGCCATATTTAAAGGGCTTGCTCAGACATGCAGAAAAGACTGCCGCTCCTCTGAGAAGTGGATTGCTTTTCAGAGACATTAAACAGGTGTTGAGGAGGCGATATTTTGCCCCCCCCCCCCCCCCCCCAACTGCTTAATTTAACCCTTTAAATGTTGCACCACCAATTGCATGTAGTTGCAGGGCAGCCCTATTGTCATGTTCGGCCCCAGCTACACCTGCCAAAAAGTGACATGCAGTACAATTTTTTCTGCAGCACGAGTACAGCTGTGAGCAACTGCAGGTCACTGTTCAGGTGGGTGGTTGGGGGACCAGTAAAATCGCAGCTCAACTGCCCCCCCGGCCACACGTGTGAATGGAGCCAACCCAAAACTTTTTTTTTTTAGCTTTGACTAGAATGGGGCAGCGTGACAGACCAAAACCAGGACAGGGAATTTTGGAGGAGACTGCAGGCTAGCCTCTTGCCTACCGATTATGGGCCCTGGCATCGGAGTTACCTCTATTGTGCCGCTATGTGCCTGGGGGGACTTTTGAGAGTACAGTTGCAAGAAAAAGGATGTGAACCCATTGGGATTATGTGGAGTTTTGCATGAATTGGGCATAAAATGTGCTCTGAACGTCATCTAAGTCACAATAGAACACAGTCTGCTGAACATAATACTACACAAACATTAGATGTTGCCATGGTTTAATTGCACATAACATGTAAACATTCACAGTGCAGGGAGGAAAAAGTATGTGAACCTGTGGACTTAACTGGTTGACCCTCCTTTGGCAGCAATAACCTCAACCAAACGTTTCCTGTAGTTGCAGATCAGACCTGCACAACGATCTGGAGTAATTTTGGACCACTCCTCTTCACAAAACTGTTTCAGTGTAGCAATATTCTTGGGATGTCTGGTGTGAATCGCTCTCTTAAGGTCATGCCACTGCATTTCAATCGGGTTGAGGTCAGGACTCTGACTGGGCCACTCCAGAAGGCGTATATTCTGTGCTGTTGCAGCCATTGTTTTGTTGAATTACTTGTATGCTTTGGGTCATTGTCCTGTTGCATCACCCATCCTTCAGTTGGCGGACAGATGGTCGTACGTTTTCCTGCAAAATGTCTTGATAAACTCTGGAATTCAATTTCCCATCAATGATAACAATCCGTCCAGGCCCTGAGGCAGCAAAGCAGCCCCAAACCATGATGCTCCCTCCGCCATGTTTACAGTGGGGATGAGGTTTTGATGTTGGTGAGCTGTGCCTTTTTTTCTCCACACATAGTGTTGTGTGTTCTTCCCAAACAACTCAATCTTGGTTTCATCTGTCCACAGTATATTTTGCCAGTAGTGCTGTGGAACATCCAGGTGCTCTTTTGCAAACTTCAAAACGTGCTGCAATATTCTTTTTGGACAGCAATGGCTTCCTCCGTGGTGTCCTTCCATGTACTCCATTCTTGTTTAATGTTTTCCTTATTGTAGATGTGGCAACAAAAATGTTAGCATGTGCCAGAGATTTCTGTAGGTCTTTAGCTGACACTCTGGGATTCTTCTTTACCTCATGCAGCATTCTGCGCTGTGCTCTTGCAGTCATTTTTACAGGACGACCACCCCTAGGGAGAGTAGCAACAGTGCTAAACTTTCTCCATTTGTAGACAATCTGTCTTACCGTGGACACATGAACATCAAGGCTTTTGGAGATAAGTTTGTAACCCTTTCCAGCTTCATGCAAGTCAACAATTCTTGATCGTAGGTCTTCTGAGAGCTCTTTTCTGCGAGGCATGGTTCACATCAGACAGTGCTTCTTGAAACCAGTAAACCCAAAACAGGTGTGTGTTTTTTAAGGGCAGGACAGCTGTCAGCAACACATCCAATATCATCACACTGATTGGAGCGAAGGTTGGCTCACTCCTGGCTCCAATTAGCTCTGGGAGAAGTCATTAACCTAGGGCCTCACATACTTTTTCCTCCCTGCACTGTGAATGTTTACATGTTATGTGCAATTAAACCATGGCAACATCTAATGTTTGTCTAGTATTATGTTCAGCAGACTGTGTTCTTCTATTGTTGTGACTTAGATGACGTTCAGAGCACATTTTATGCCCAATTCATGCAAAACTCCATTTAATCCCAAGGGGTTCACATACTTTTTATTGCATCTGTTTTACTTCAGATTCAAGTCCATGTCTCCCCAAAACACAGACGGAGGATTGGAGGACCCCCCCTACTCCTAAACTCAGAGCAGATGTTAATATAAATGAGCTGAAAACAACCTCATGCTGAGGTTTCTTGCGGTTACCCATTTATTAAGATATTATGTGTTTACCATTGTATATTTGTTCCGTTGTTAATGAGTCACCATTTGTCTGCTCACTAGTACTCCTGAAGGTTCATACATGATAGGATTAGTTTTGTGTCAACTTTACCTCGTTCTCTGATCAGTGTGGGATGTTTATCCCAATCTGTAATGTTTGTTTTTTTGTTCATGTGGGGACTGCCCCCATTTCTGTAGTGTATAAAAACATGTATTTTTCTGTTCAATAAAGAGTTCCAGTTGCACCTAAGCTAGTGTCTAGTTCTTGTGTGCAATGCCTAGTTATATTACCTTGGTCTTGTGGCCCAGCAGCAAGGAAGTTGTTCTGACAGAATCACGCAGGCAGGGTGTCAGGAAGTCCATCACAGGCAGTATTAGAACCCCTTCAGTTTTACTGCTGTCTGGGACTCCCAGCGATTTCTCAATCACTGTTCCAGGGGGTAACCTTTTTCCCAGCCAGGAAATTAAGGAAACTCTCAAAAACAGCAAATACGAAGAAGTAAAAATGCTGCTATTTCAGTAGGGGGGAATGCTAGGTCAAAAACAGAGTGAGAAAAAGAAAGCTCTCCAATGGAGCCCCAGATAAGCAGCAAAACTTGCCAGGGGTTCTAAAACTTCCACACTTTAGATCAATCACAATTTTTATAGTTTTGGATAGTTATATGTAATGAGCATTGCATGCCTTGCAACAATCAGTTGAATTAAATTACAATTCAAAGTTTATTTCACTTCAAGTAGTACCATTACAGAATAAGGATGCTGTATGTGCACTGTAATGGATTGCAGTAGCCTTAACTACATACAGTACTTTGTTCGGCACCGGTATGAGCGACCTCCCGTCTGTTACTGGAGTTAAATAGTTGGGATGAGCGTTTCTCCATCATTCAGGAGAAGCCTTTATTTTGGCAGTGAATACAAAGTTTCCTCCGCTTGCCTGGGTTGGAAATTGTGAGGTCATCTGCTTGCCTCTAAATGCCGACCAATCAGATGAAGTTTTGTATTTATGGATAAAAGCACAAGGCTTCTCCTGAATGGCAGAAAAGCATTTAGACAGATTCTTTAATTCAGAGTTTGAGTTACCAAACAACTGAAATGTGTTAAAGCTGGTAAGAACTGGCCACTGACAAGAAAGATTTGGTAGTTTTCAACTGTAACGTTCATTTATGCACTTAAGTTTCAAAAACGAATATTCGTCTGTCAGTGGCAGATTGGTGTAGAAGAAAAACAAAACTGCCTATTGTATAGCCATCAATACAGCAGATCTGCAGCCATAACATATCTATAAAAAACAAAACAAAGCAAAAACAAACAAAACAAAAAAAACAAACAAAACAAAACTTGGCATTGGGAGGCAGACAACTTTGGTCTAAGCCTGGCCATTTTTTTTTTTTTGCCCCAGTCAGGCAGCAGGCTGTTGAAAAACCCAAGATTCCCCCATCCACACAAGGAAAGTGGATGGAGGAATCCACCCTGCAGTACAATTGTGTTCTGACAGCCAAGGAGTCCTCACTATCAAAATACACTTAGCGCAGCAGCCATAGATTGTGAAAGTGTTCCAACGTTCCCATTCAAAAACAGTTGATAGATTGGGAAGGGCAATAGATGGATCAATATGAATGACGCGACCATGTGGGTGGATTACTGCACGGCCGAGCGTTTTTTTTTTTAAAGTGACAGCTAGTACGGCAATCTTCTCCCTGTACTTCGTTTATAGGGAGAGGGTTAGCAGCGCTGGCACCTGCAGGTTCAGGAACATCTTACATGTTTCACCTGTTATAAGGGTGGAACATGTAACATGTTCCCAAACGTGAACCTATCCTTTATATAGTACTTATCCTTTAAAGTGGAAGTTCAGGCAAAACTCAACTAAGGTTAAACCTACTCCCAGCCCCAGTCTAAGCATAGTCTATTTAAACCTGTAAAGAAAAGATCTGTATACATACCTATTCCAAAGCTGCTCCAGTCTGGTCCTGTCCCATGAACAACTGTCAGTGGCAGCTTCTGTATGGAGGAGGGACAGCCACCAATGGATGCCCAATAGTAAGTCTATAGGCAGCATCATCTCCCAAGCATTTCCAGCTGTTGGAAATCTTTCTTATACACCAAAGCCGCTGCTGGAGAGATCATAAGAATTGAATGGAGCGGGTTCAGAATAGGCAAGTATACAGATCTTCTCTTTATAGGGTTAGAATAGGTTTATAATGGGGTTGGAAGCAGGTTTAGCCTTCGTTAAGTTTTGCCTGAACTTCCACTTAAAGGCAGTAGAACACGGCATACGGCTGAGACACATTACCTTAATTGTACAAATGACAAATCATACAATGGGACAAATGTGTATGCAGTGACCTATTACAGGATTCACTCCTGAACCCCGGCAGAAGAACTGCACATTGCTCTGTGGTGTGCTGTAAACAGCAGAGTTACTGTACATAAGCCGCTCTGATCACACCACTATTCACTTCGTAGACCTAACAATGCAGGCTACTTACTTTTGCTTGACAAATTCATCAGTCACAAGTTTTTTCACATCCCCAAATTGCTCATGCTTCTCTCTAAATGTAAAAAATGAATAGAAGAAAAATCAAGACACTGGTTTGGATAAGCAACAAACAGATTTGGATACAAAATGAATTAAAGTGTTACTAAACCCACAACAGTAAAATCAGTCTGTATATGCAGTAAAGCATGCTTGTTATACTCACGGTGGAACCTAAGGGGTTAATCCTCTGCATTGTGTAAAAATGCCGTTAGATTCCGTCTTCTCTGACCTTCTACTGTCCCCAATGCTGATCATACAGAGCTCTAGGAGTCACTCTGCACATGCTCAGTTTAGTGTGTCATTGCTAGAATTTTTTTTTCTTTTTTTGGGGGGGGGGGGGCGCATGTGATCAGCCCAGGGCCAATCAGCACTGTCATGCACCCTCATAGGACAGTCCGAGGAGAATGAAAACTCCTCCTAGTAACACTTTAAACAGGTTATATAGTTGGGAAAGGTGAAGAAAGAACAATTCTAACACACACTTTACTTTTCAACCGCTCCAAAATCCTTGCAGATACAGGCACAGAAAATGACAGCAGGGAAGGTGACATGTAATATGGGCACCTAGATGACAGCAGGGGACAGGATCTGTAATATGGGTACTGAGGCAAACATCAGTGGTATTCCCAAATAACCATGTCTTCCGTGGCTTGAGTGAAAAGACCCCATTATCCCCCATCTCATAGCTCTGTCCCAATACCTAAACCCGGAGGGATCCTTGAGCCCCTGAAAAGTCTGTATTTACCATTTAGATCTTAATTATGGTCTGGACCTAAAAAACATTTAGCAGGCTTCAGTAGTGGGGATAAAATGACTTGTTTGCTTACATGTATGAGTAGTAAATGTCCAAGCCAAATCTGCAGTTCCATTCTACAGGATAAAATGCTAACCATTTCAATAAGGAATAGGTTTTTCTATTTTTGTGCAAAACCTTTAAAAAAAATTATTCCATCATGAGTTTTGAAACATACCCTTGAATAATTCGCAGGTGCCTCAACATCTCCCATACAGCCGCTGCCAAAAGAAAAAACAATTATGATATTATGATATATCTAGACATTCTGTATTTGCCATCTCTATCTAGATCTACACTCCACCACTTTATTAGGTACACCTGTTCAACTGCTTGGTAACACACACATTGCTTATCAGCCAATCACATGGCAGCAACTCAATGCATTTAGGCATGTAGATGTGGTGAAGAGTATTTAAAAAAAAAAAAAAAAAAAAAAAAAAACACACACACACACACACACACACACACACACACACACACACCAGACAACAACTGGATGGATGGATAGATAGAAAACTGGCCAAAAGATCGTATTCAGAGAGTAGTGGTAAGGATTCATACTCTGAATGGTTTGGGGTTGTTAGTGGTGTACCCAGGTTCAGTGTTGGGACCCTTACTTTTTAACATAGTTATAAATGATATAGGGTCTGAGATTATAAATCCCATTTCAGTCTTTGCAGATGACACCAAGCTGTGCAGTGGAATAACGTCCTTACAGGATGTCTCCAACTTACAAGTCGACCTCAATGCACTGTTTAATTGGGAAACTATGTGGCAAATGAGGTTTAATGTTGATAAATTTAAGGTTCTGCACTTGAGGGCTAAGAATATGCATGCATCATACATACTGGGGGGGTACAACTGGGGAGTCAATGGTGAAGGATCAGGGAGTTCTGGTAGATCACAAGCTTAATAATGGCATGCAATGCCAAGCTGCGGTTTCTAAAGTGAGCAAAATCCTCTCTTGTATTAAAAGAGGTATAGACTCCAGAGAGAGATATCATTTCCCCCGTACAAATCATTAGTAAGACCTCATCTGGAATATGCAGTTCAGTTTTGGGCACCAATTCACAAAAAGAACATTGGGGAACTGGAGAAAGTACAGAGAAGGGCAACCAAACTGATAAGAGGCATGGAGGAGATCAGCTATGAGGAACGGTTAGAGGAACTGAATTTATTCTCTCTTGAGAAGAGGAATTAAGGGGGAATATGATCAACATGTATAATACATAAGGGGGATATGATCTCCATGTATAATACATAAGGGGGGATATGATCTCCATGTATAATACATAAGGGGGGATATGATCTCCATGTATAATACATAAGGGGGGATATGATCTCCATGTATAATACATAAGGGGGGGGGGATATGATCACCATGTATAATACATAAGGGGGGATATAAACTCCATGTATAATACATAAGGGGGGATATGATCTTAATTTATAATACATAAGGGGGATATGATCTCCATGTATAATACATAAGGGGGGGATATGATCTCCATGTATAATACATAAGGGGGGGATATGATCTCCATGTATAATACATAAGGGGGGATATGATCTCCATGTATAATACATAAGGGGGGATATGATCTCCATGTATAATACATAAGGGGGGATATGATCTCCATGTATAATACATAAGGGGGGATATGATCTCCATGTATAATACATAAGGGGGGATATGATCTTAATTTATAATACATAAGGGGGATATGATCTCCATGTATAATACATAAGGGGGATATGATCTCCATGTATAATACATAAGGGGGGATATGATCTCCATGTATAAATACATTAGTGGTTCATATAGTGAACTCTGTGTAGAGCTATTCACCCTGAGGTCATCACAGAGGACAAGGGGGCACTCTTTACATCTGGAGGAAAAGAAATTTAATCTCCAAACATGGAAAGGTTTCTTCACAGTAAAAGCTGTGAAAATGTGGAATAGACTCCCTCAAGAGTTGGTTCTGGCCAGCTCAGTGGATTGCTCTAAAAAGTCCTGGATTCTTTCTTAGATACACAGAATATAACTGGATACTAACATTTATAAGTAAAGTTGATCCAGGGAATATCCGATTGCCTCTCGGGTGATCCGGAAGGAATTTTTTTCCCCTGCAGGAGTAAATTGGATCGTGCTTTGCTGGGGTTTTTTGCCTTCCTCTGGATCAACTGTGGGTATAGGATTATAACTTTTTTTTTTTTTTTTAAATGGCTGAATTGGATGGACTTTATCTTTTCTCAGCCAAACTATGTATCAACTGATCTACTGCGTAAAAAGACGCACAACCATCTCTAGGGTTTAGAGAATGGTCCAAAAAAAAAAAAAAAGAAAAAAAAAAGAAAATATCCAGTGAGTGATGAAAATGCTTTGTTGCTGTCAGAGGAGAATGGGCAGACTGGTTGCTGCGACGTTCAGATAGTAGGATCAGAATTTGGTGTAAACATGAAATTATGGATCCATCCTGCCTTGTATCAATGGTTCAGGCTGGTGGTAGTGTAATGGTGTGGGGGAGATTTTCTTGGCACTAGTGATGTGTACCTAATAAAAGTGGCCAGTGAGTGTATATATCTAGCAAGACCAATCAGCATTCAGGATGCAATGCTGCAGTGTCTTCAAGAATCTCAAAATAAAAACTTGTAAATGTGGAAAAGAAAAGAAAAAATAGGAGGAGCAAAACAGACAGCAGTTGATCTGATGACTGCAACGGATAGACAAGACATTGTTCGCATGAATGTTAAAACTAGTCCACATTTTTATGAATGTACGATACATTTTTAAAAAGACCTTTACTTGTGGAATCTTGCTGAATAATAGCGGTAGTAAACTTGTAACTACAGGTAAGCTTATGAGCTTACCTTACCTGTAAAAAAAAAAAAAAAAAAAAAAAAAAAAAGCTTACCTGTAGGTACAATTCCTTTTCAATTCATTGATGATTTAAAGAGCAAGTGCACACAGATGATATACTGACAGGTTAGCTTTGACCAGAATGAATTATCTAAGCAAACGGTCACTGGTAATTCCACTGTATTTGATGCCTCTATAGGCTTTTAAAAATAAAACACAAATACTCACATTCTTTGACGGTGTTCCCCTTCATGAAAATAAGGCTCAAAATTACTGTAAGCAACCCTAACTTGGCAGTCTCATCATCTCTAGAAGAAGAAAAAAAAAAACTCTAAATAATATGTAGGTTATTTCAAAGGTTACAGAATCACACTTTTTCAGGCCAGTCTGTCTAAAAAGGACCAAAGTTGCTTCTTAAATCTTTAGCAACTATTAGGGTAACAACTCCTCCATTGGGCAGCTGGATACTGAATGTTGTGGCCTTTGAGGGTTGACGGCTGATGATGAATGAAGACCCCAGGAAAGAGTAAAGCTGGGTACATACTATCCGTTTGAGGTTTTTTTTGTTTTTTTAATTCCCCCATTCAAACCAGCGGGCTGAACGAAAAAAAAAAAAAAAAAAAAAAAAAAAAAAACCCTGAAGAGCTCCTGAGACGCTCACTGTACTAACTGGGTGATGGTAGTACAGCAATTTCCCCGCAGAGCTATTGTGTTTTGATAGGGGGACTGTTGCACCCACCAGAGCACACTAGCCAGCGCTGGCAGCACTATTTGAATGCAGGCATTCTAGCATGCCCGTTTGGCTGGCTTCTGTCAGACAGACGTGTATACACGTGCCAAATGTCGGACAGTTTTGGTTGAACCAGCCCATATTCGGCCACACATGTACAGAGCTTAAAAAAAAGGCACACAGACCACCATAGCATTTCACGCCAAGCTGTGACAGCGTGCTCCACAAGGCAACATTGGCAGTGAAAACCTGGTAGTGGAGGTTAAAAGGGTAGGGTGATAAGTCAAGGTCCTCACTACAATTATACAGGTTAGTCCCTCTTTTCTCATAAAAGAGAACGTGTGGCCCTTCAAATTCAGAGGCTGCCTCTACCACTGGTCTAAAGCTAGACATACATAGATCGAAATGGAGCAGGTTCAGCAGAACCAGCTGAATTTCATATCATATATGGGCTTGATGGTTGTACACAAATTTATCTACAAATCAACTGGTGTAAAACCAACCAGTCAGGCTCTTCCAAATGATTTGTGCTGCCGGCTACAGCCAGCAACAATTAGGCTATGTTCACACTAGCTTTGTCAGCAGGCGTCATAGAGACGCTACCCAAACGCCTGTAACGCTTCTTAAACCCTATGAAAATTCTGTACATGGCAGCACACTGAAGCGTTAGCTTTCCGTTGCGGCAAAACTGGCGCCTCATGTTGAGTCAGGAGGAGTTGAAGCCTCCCATTCAAGTCTATGGTGCCGCTCCTCAAAACGCGGTTGTGATGCAGTTTTGAGGCGTTTTCGGACCGTTAATACCATTTGACTTCATTACAGGCATTTGTGGTGCAGTTTTAACGCTTGGCAAAAGCCTATCAAATGCCTCAAAACCGTGCATAGGGCGTTTGGGGAGCATTTGAGGAGCGTTAAAAAACACTTCCCAAACACCTGTCAAACGCTATGGGGGAGTTTGGCAAGAGTTAGAAGTGTGAACGAGCCCTTACTGTATTTTGCTGGCGGGGAAGACTCACCACCAGCAGAACACAACAGCGTTGCTGGAGTGATTCCCCCATTCACACACTATGAGCACTTTTTTTGCTCAACCTGCTGATTGTAGTTTTAGGCAGACCATACATTATACTTCAGACAGACATTCACAAATGGTTCTGTATAAGCGATTGATCTATCTGGTAGGAGTTTATATTGAGTCTATACAAGCAGAAAATAGGCCTGTAGTGAATGCTACAAAACAAAGCAGGTAGAATTCACCCTCCAACCTACAAATATGAACACCAGTCATAATTGTCTGCCATCCTAACACCCAAGGCATTTACCTTTTTTTTTTTTTTGGACAAGATTTTGGCTAAACAGCACTGTTGTACAATGCCCCACAAAGATCTCCAAAGTTGAAAGAAAATAAATTAGACCGATTAATCGTATCAAGACAGCAGCCAGCGAATAGGGGTGCCAAAAAAAATTACTGAGAATGACCGATCACCTGCAAAAGGCAGTGAGATTTTGTGCAGTGCAGGAAAATGCGTGATATTGCATTGCACCTTGTGTGAAGAAGCCCTCAATGTCCATTTTCTGTAAAATGTATTCTGTAATTGACAGTCTTAAAGAAAGCCAGACAGTGACAGTATTTTTAAAAAGATTGTGTTTAAGGCCAAACACCCCATGGCATCAGATAGTATTGTTATAAAGCCAGAAAAGTCCCTCTTGTATGCCACTAAAAATAGAGATTTTGGGCCTCTGGTAACACAAACTAACTTCAGGGTTTAGCATTTTTTTCCTCTCAGAGTCTAATTATAATTACAGTAGCCCATTAGGGTGCACCAACTGAACAGTAACATGGAAGCTGGTAGAGGCAAATTCAGCATTCATATCGTGTCCGACACGTGGAAAACACACGTTTCCCACTTATACTTTCCACATGAACAGCCTTACAAGTGATACTTTCCACAGGAAAAACATAGGCTGCAGATGCATCCCAGATTATTAAGAGTTGTGATGTCACAAAAATGTCTTTACCCTCAATTCCTCCTCCCGCACAGCCATAGGCTTCCACCATTTCTCACAGGAAATGGGTGTCAATGGAATGAGGTGGCACCTCTGGACATCACATACAGAAAATATGAATAATTCAGCACCACATGAAATAAACACAATCCAAAAAAACATTTATTTCTCAACTTAACGACTTCTGGTCCACTTTAAGTAAAAATAATTAATAAAATGAAATTACCGTGCGCCTCCGCTGTTTGAAGCATATAGGATTGAAGATAATAAATTAATGAAGGCACAGACTCTCAATGGGGGTTATTAACTAAAACTGAAATGTGCAAAATCTGGTACAACGCTGCATAGAAGCATAGGTCCCTAACATACATACACATACTAGGGCCAATTTAGACAAGAGTCAATTAACCTACCAGCATGTCTGTGTGGGTTTCCTCCGGGTACTCCAGTTTCCTCCCACACTACAGACACAGGGAGCACATGACAAAAAAATTGGAGGGGAAAAAAAAAAAAAAAAAAAAAAAGGGAGTGCATTTATTATTTTTGTTGCAGGAGTCTGTAAAAGGATTGCACCAGCAATCAGCATTTCCCAGGTGCCATGCAGGTCTCCCACAGACCTGTCAGTATATCTATACGGGCAAGCAGATGTACTGACAGGAAGGATCAATGAACTACCACAACGCTCAACAGTGCCATGGTGGCTCATTGAGAACTACAAGCTGACAGCAGCAAAAGGGGGAGGGAGGGGGGATTAGGCAGCAGCTGCAGTGTTGGGAACAGGTTACACATTACACCCTAAAAATGGGTGGAAGATGTCACATGTTCCCAAAGGTGAACTTTTCCTTTAATTGAAAAGGCTTAAGTTAAAAGTTGATTGGAATCTGTTGCAGCTGTGCATGGTAGCCAAATGCTCCAGTTTTAGTAAATCTCCCCAATGTGTTCTAGTATAAATAACATATGGTGTTCAAAATTACAGAATTAAAGATAAAAAACTCCAGTAATGACAGAGCTTTTAAACATGCTGGTTTATAAGGGGATACCTCCAACAAGGTGTATTCGTGCGGTTTTCTACATAGTTGAGAATTATGTACACTTATTGGACTGCAATTCCAGTAGTTCTTTAACCCCCTTCTTTTTCCCACCCACCCTGGCGTCCCTTTAAAAGGTTCTGAATGCCTGGTAGGGCGGAAAGAATAGGCAATCCTGACCACTATGATTGGCTTTCACAGTGGCTACTTGATCAGAAGGAGATTCCTGCTGGTTCGTTAATCCCAAGAGCTGTCCTTGACAGCTTGGTCTCCAGTGATTGCACTCTCAGCACAGAATCATTGGCTGCCCAGCGACACACATGAGGTTAAAGCCCTCCTTTTTGCCACCGCATATATATGTGTTACAAGGGAGGTAACAGATTAAAAAGGTAAACCTACATGCAGCAACATGCCCCCCAACAATCATAGATCCGAAAATCTAGTCATCCACACCCACCCAGTGCTTTTAAAAATTTTAGTACATTTATCTTACACTTTCATTCCATCCCCCTCTACAGGCTCTAGTCTGTTGGTGAGAACATATACGTGGTTTTTGGTGTCAATCTCCTCCAGCTCAAAACCAAATACCTAAAAAGAAAAAAAATGGCACTGCTTCAAATTATGATTGCAACATACATTTTACCCTTCTCCCCAATTACTAGGATATTCTATGGAGTAACACCACACAAAGTAATATTTACCTATATATTTTATTTTACTGTTCTATGGTTTAATGTCTGCACTCCAGACAAGTTCTAAAAATTTCCTTTATGGTCATCTGTATATTGAGAAATCAGATTGGCCTACATGATTAGAGATAGATTCCTGGCATGGTATATTTTTTACATAGTTACATTTATTTATTTCAGGTACTTATATAGTGCCATCAATTTACGCAGTGTTTCACATATATATTGTACGGTCACATCAGTCCCTGGTACTTGTCTGTGAATTCACCGGATTTATTTATTTTTTATAGGTTTTATTTAAATCTATATATACAGTGGGGCAAAAAAGTATTTAGTCAGCCACCAATTGTGCAAGTTCTCCCACTTAAAAAGATGAGAGAGGCCTGTAATTGGCATCATAGGTAGACCTTAACTATGAGAGACAAAATGAGAAAAAAAATCCAGACAATCACATTGGCTGATTTGGAAAGAATTTATTTGCAAATTATGGTGGAAAATAAGTATTTGGTCACCTACAAAAAAGAAAAAGATTTCTGGCTCTCACAAACCTGTACCTTCTTCTTTAAGAGGCTCCTCTGTCCTGCACTCATTACCTGTATCAATGGCACCTGTTTGAACTTGTTATCAGTATAAAAGACACCTGCCCACAACCTCAAACAGTCACACTCCAAACTCCACTGTGGTGAAGACCAAAGAGCTGTCGAAGGACACCAGAAACAAAATTGTAGACCTGCACCAGGCTGGGAAGACTGAATCTGCAATAGGCAAGCAGCTTGGTGTGAACAAAGCAACTGTGGGAGCAATAATTAGAAAATGGAAGACATACAAGACCACTGATAATCTCCCTCGATCTGGAGCTC